TCTTCTCCCACCTTCCTTCCTTCTGCCGCTCTCTCCATTTAGGAACAAGGGAGATTGATAGCTAGAGGAACAGCATAGAGACAGATCTGAGTCAAGAGGAGAATCTCTGAGAACAATATTTTTTTAATTCATATGCATGTATATGGATAATCTCTTAGATTCACTATTCTCATCAGAAAACCCTACAGGCACTTAGAATCTTTTTATGTTTTTTTGTTAGTTAACATAAAGTGTTATATTAGTTTCAGGTGTATTGACAGAGTCTTACACTAGGTTCTAGACAGAGGGTGTCTACCACTGAGGGGGGTCAGAATTGCAGAGAGACCCCCTGAGGAACAAACACAGGGAGCCATGGAAGCCTGGGGTAGGACATGAGAACTAGGACCAAACCTGCAGGCCCTTGAGCTGAAGCTCTTTTCAACTCTGAAGAGAACATTTAAAGATATTGTAAACACTAGTCATTTTTCCTGAAAATGTCATGCATCTATCAAAAGAAGTAACTGAAAAATGCACTAAAATATTGGTTACTTGCAACATACACTGAATGTATGCGTGATATTGTTAAAAATATTACTCAATTTCATTCAAATCATTTCTGTAGCACATAATTTCTTTTAATGTTCTTTTAACATAAAAAGTACACTTTTAAAGAAATCAATTTACATTTACACTTCTCAACCTCTTTCAAAATGTGCATGCTTCAAACTCTGCACCATTGACTCTCTGACCTCTTCTCTCACCTCTGTTTCCTCACCCCAGCCACACTGCGTCTCTGGTTGTTTCTCCAACATGCCACACATGCTCATGCCTTAGGGTCTTGGCTTAGGCTGTTCTGTCTGCTTGGAACTCTCTTCCTAGGAATCCTCTGCTTTAAGTAGCTGTTCAAACATCACATACTCAGTAAGGTTTTCCACCCTATGTAAAAGTGCAACCGTCCTCCCTCCAACACCACCTTCTTGACCCACTCTCATACCCTGCTCTACTTTTTATTCCCTTTTTCCATTTCACTTATCACTTACTTTTTTACCTTATAAATATCTCATTCATTATGTGTGTGTTTCTTTTTTGATCTATTTTTCATCTCCTCCAGCTAGGTGGAAGCTCGATGTGGAAGGGGTCTTTATTGCTCTTATTCACTGATGTGTCTCAGTTTTCCAGAATTCATGGTACAGAGTAGGTACTTGTGATCGAGAAAGATTTACTGAATCAATGAATGAGTGAGTGACTGAGTGAATCTCTCATTTATTCTGAATCTTACTCAAAATATTACTAGGTGTTAAGGAGGGAAATGATTTTCAATGAGAAACAAATCCTTTGCAGTTCAAGTTGTTTCAATTCATTACTTTCAGTAAATCTAATGGACATTTAAAAAGACACTTAAGAAAATAAGTTAAAGAATGCATGGGATCATAGAGATTTTCCAAATTATTTTAGATTGGACAGGAGCAGAAATATTTAAGACCACTGGCAAAGGAAAGAACATAGAAGGAAGCTATGGAGGACACTGGCAAACTGCTCACCAAATCCATTTCCACTTTTTTCCCTGAGGACACAGCTTGTTACTGAGACAATATTACTGAGTCCGAGCCAATTGAATGCTGGAGAAACTGATGTGCATTGCTTCCAGAACCAGTCCTTTAAAAACTCCTCCCTTGTGATTCTCCATGCCCATTGTCCTTCCCATGATGCAGACCAGCATGGTAGCCCACAAAGTCACCTATTGAACATGGCAGAGCTACAAGATGAAGATTGCCTGCAACCTGGAATCAGTGCTTAGAGAGAGTTTCATGCCATTGTGAAGACCCATTTGGATTTCACATACACATGAAGTATGCTTCTTTTGCTCTAAATTACTGAGAATTTTCAGTTCAAGTATTATGTAGCTAACATTACCTTGAATAATATAGGAATATTCCTACTATGTTAAATAGGAAAAAATTTCTTTCAGGAAATAAAAATGCTAGCATAGTGTAACATGCAGAATCCAGACAGAAGTCTGAGAACCCAGAAGGTATAAAAGATGCTTTTTCTTGCAATGCAAGATCACATACACTGAAGGTTTCAACAAATGTTTCTCATAGGCCTCCTCTCATCTTTAGAACTCAGCTGACATTTTTGTGATCATAGAGAGAACAGCTGGATTATCTGAAAAACTTGCCTCAGAAAGGGATGAGAAAGGTAGTTCATGGTTAAGTTGTGAAGGTCTTCATTGTACCATCATGGGACGATTTTTAAAAGGATCTATGTTTTTTTTTGAAAATTCCTTCTTGAATTAGATTTGGTTTCTAGCAGACAATTGCTTACCTAAGCTCAGCCTCTAACATTTAAGATTCTAATCATTTTATAAATCTAGCGCCTAAAGAAACCCTCAATAATAATTTTTTTCAGTTACAATAAGTTTTAACAAGACAGATGACTAACAAATCTTCAGTTTAGTAAAAGGAGATTTTGAAAATAATGACTCCAAAAACATTACCTTTATAAATCTGGTTCATCTGGAGCTTCAGAAGAGTTTTAAACATATGAATCTTTTTCTAAAAAGTCACTAATTCACATATCCTAGAATAGAAACATCTGTGAAACACAAGTATTTATAATTTATTTATTATATTTATTTAATTACATATTTATTTATACTTGCTGGTGTAAAACTAGGAAATGGTCAAGCAGCTTATATTATCAGCTGCTTGTGAGGACATTAAAATGATATTCTTAACTGACACTTCCATCTAGAGAATATCCTTGCCACCTAAAACAACTATATTCTCTTCAGAAAACTAAGGATGAATGTTTTAAATATTGGCATGCAAGGCTTTGACATATATCTTTCATTTTCCCATATTATATATACCCATAATAGTTTACTTTTTTATGTCATCTGAAAGGATAATTGATTCCATAAAGAAGTAATGATTTACATCAGCAAAAGCAACAATAAAAGAGAATGGTTCTGAATCTACAAGAATATCTGCCTACAGTGTCCCTCTTCCCTTCTATTCACTGTCACAAACTCAAATACCACCACTTTTGTAATCACCCCTTTTTCCATTCTTTACACATAATCACTCCTTTTGTATTCCCTGAGAGGTTAGTTTGTATGTTTATTTTAGCATTAGATTACTGAATTATAATTATTTACTTAAATTTCTGACTTGTCTAGCCAAATATGTGGAAATTAAACAGCATACTGCTGAACAACCTATGAGTCAAAGAAGAAATCCAAAGGGAATAAAAAAAATATTTCAAAACAAATGAAAATGGAAACACCCCACATCAAAACCTATGATGCTACAAAAGCAGTTCTGAGAGGGAGGTTTATAGAGATAAAAGCATATATTAAGAAAATAGAAAGATCTCAAGTGAACAATCTAACTTTATACCTCAAAGAATTAGAAAAAGAACAAACAAAGCCCAAAGTTAACAGAATGAGGGAAATAACAAAGATCAGAACAGAAATAAATGAAATAGACACTAGAAAGACAATAGAAAAGATCAATAAAACTAAGAGCTAGCTTTTCAAAAAGATAAAATTGACCAGGCTTTAGCTAGCCTCAGAAAAAATAAGGAAGATTTATAAATACAATAAAAAAATGAAAGAGAAGACATTACAACTGATACCATAGATGTTCAAAGGGTCATAACAGACTAATATAAACAGTTGTGCTCCAACATTTGGATAACCTAGAAGAAATGGCCAAGACAGAATCATGAAGAAATAGAAAATATGAACAGATCAATAGTGAGTTTGAATCATTAATCATTAATCCAAAAGAAGAAAAGAAGAAAACCCAGGGTGGGATGATTTCACTGGTAAATTCACCCAAATATTTAAAGAACAATTAGTGCCAATCCTTCTCAAACTCTTCCAGAAACTTGAAGAGGAACAAACATTCTCAAACTCATTTTATGAGGCCAACATTACTATGATACCAAAACCAGAGAAGGACACTGTAAGAAAGGAAAACAAACCAATGTCCCTGATGAAGAGATAGAAGCAAAAACTCAACAAAATACTAGCAAAAAGCATTCAACAGCACATTGAAAGGATCATACACAAAGAGGGATTTATCCCTGGGATGCAAGAATAGTCAATATATGTAGATTAATAAATGTCACACACCTCATTGATAAATGAATGATAATCATATGAACATCTTGATAGAAGCAGAAGAAGCATTTGACAAAATACAGCATCCTCTTAGAATAAAAGCCCTCAACAAAATGGGAACAGAAGGAACATACCTCAACGTAACAATGACCATACTTGATAAGCCCACAGCTCACATCATACTCAGTGGTGAAAGGTAGAAAGCTTTTCCTCTAAGATCAGGAACAAGAGAAGGGTGCCCATTCTCATTACTCTTATTCAACATAGTCCTAGAAATCCTGGCTAGGCAAATCAGGCAAGAAAAATAAATAAAATGTATCTAAAGCAAAGAAGTCAAATTGTCTTTACAGGCAATATGATTTTACATATAAAAAATCCTAAAGACTCCACCAAAAATCTCTTAGGTCTAATTGACCCATTCAGTAAAGCTGAAGGATACAAAATCAACATACTGAAATCAATTGAATTTTTATACACTAACAACAGAATATTCTGAAAAAGAATTAAAGAAAACTATCTTGTTCACAATAGCATTAAAAACAATACAATACTTAGGGCAAAATATAACCAAGAAGATGAAAGGTCTGTACATTGAAAACTGTAAGGCTTTGATGTAAAAAATCAAAGGTGACACAAACAAATGGAAAGATATCCTATATTCATGGATAGAAAGAATTAATATTGTTTAAATGTCCATATTACCCAAAGCCATCTATACATTCAGTGCAACCCCTATCAAAATTACCATATCATTTCTCATAGAACTAGAAAAAATAATCCTAAAATTTGTATAGAATCACCAAAGACTCTGAATAGCCAAAGCAATCCTGAGAAAGAACAAAGCTGGGAGCATCACACTTTCTGATTTTAACCTATACCATGAACCTATAGTGTGCTCGCTTTGGCAGCACATATGCTTAAATTGGAATGATACAGAGAAGATTAGCATGGTCCCTGCGTAAGGATGACACAAAAATTTGTGAAGTGTCCTATACTACAAAGCTGTCATAATGAAAACAGTATGTTACCGGCATAAAAATAGACAGAAAGACCAATAGAACAGAATCTGGAGTGAACCCTCACATATATGACCAGCTAATAATTAACATGGAAGCCAAGAATATAAAACAAGGAAAGGATAGTGTCTTCAATAAATGGTTCTAGGAAAACAGATTAACTTCATTCAGAAAAATAAAATTGGATGCCACCCTTGACATCTGATCACCCCCAATGTCTAATCGAATTCCTTCTCCTCCACCATCCCCTGTGTGATATCTTATTACCCTGGCTTGCCTGTAGCAAGAATCTGTTGAGTCTTTTTAGCCAGAATCCTCCCTTATCACTGATGTTTCTTCTAAGTAATTTTCTATCCACTGACCCCCCAACCTACTTCTTGGCTATAAATCTCCATTTGTCCATGGTGTATTCAGAATTGAGCCCAGGTCTGAACGAGGTCTCTTTTCCCCTATTGCAATAGTCCTGAATAAAATCTACTTGTGCCACTTAAACTTCTGTCCAGCCCTGATTTTCTTTAATGGTAGGTTAAAAGTAAAAAGATAGAGGGTGCCTGGGTGGCTCAGTTGGTTAAGCATCTGTCTTTAGCTCAGATCATGATCCCGGGGTCCTGGGATCTAGTCCTACGTTGGGCCCCCTGCTAAGCGGGGAGTCTGCTTCTCCCTCTCCTTCTGTTGCTCTCTCTCTTTCTCTCTCTGTCAAATAAATAAATAAAATCTCAAAAAAAAGTGAAAAGATAGAAAATGACATACTATGAGAACGCTAACCAAAAGGAAGTGAAGATATCTGTGTTAGTATCAAATAACAGTGACTTCAGAGCAAAGAAAATTACCAGAATTAAAAAATGATAAAAAGGTCAATCTATCAATAATACACAACAATTTAAAATGTGTCTTCATCTGAAAATGGAACTTCAAAATACATAAAGCAAAATCTGTTTGAACTGAAAAAAAAAACCAGAAATATTCACAATGACAGTTGATGATTTTAACACTTCTTTCTTGGTAATTGATACAAAAGGTAAACAGACAACAAGGATACAGAATATATTTTAAACTTGGACACCACTGAAATCGAAAACTTCTGTTTTGCAAAGACATTAAGAGAATGAAAAGATAAGCAATAACCTGAGAGAAAATCATTGCAAATCACACACCTAACCAAAGATTTGCATCCAAAAAATGTAAATAACTTTCAAACATCAGTAATAAGAAAACAACCCAATTTTTAAAAATGGGCAAATGATTTGAGAGATAGTTCACAAAAGACATATGAATGTCAAACAAGTACATGGAAAGATGCTCCACATCATCTGTCACAAGGATTAAGCATAATAAGAGTTGCAATGGGTCCTCAAAATGAAATAATGTTCAGTTGGCTACAGTGTTTAAGTATTAGAATAACAAAATATGAAAAAAAAACAGAAGCTCGATGTCTTGCAGTAAAATATTTACAATTTTCCTTTCACTTTATGTTGTAAAAAGGATAGAAATAATAGGAATGTCTTAGAATGTCTTAGTCAAGTTTTAAAATGAAAATATGTGAAATATTGTATCATTGTGCTTTCTCCTATTTTATATGTTTGTTACCAAAATATTATTACCATTGCCAAAATAAAGATAGAATACAGTTTTAAAATGAGAATATGTGAAATATTATATCATTGTGCTTTCTCCTATTTTTATATATGTTTGTTGCTGATATATTATTACCACCTCCAAAATAAAGATGGAGTAGCAAATAAAGTCAAAGCTGCATTTTCTCTATGCTGTTGAATAAAGAAGAGCATACTTAACGTAACAGAGTATGTGAAATCTAGAACCTGAGAATTCCAATAATTTCCAAATATTTCTGCTGTTTGGATTTGCAGAACGCTTTTGCTAGGGAGAATTCATTCTCAATGTCCGACTTGGTTTAGATCTTACCAAAGAATTTTTTCAATTCTAATACCCTGCACTGGCATACTGTACACAAAAAGACACTCTCATATACTTCTAGATAGAGTATACAGTAGCTAAAAAAACCTACAAGGTAATCATCAATACATAAAATAATTCTGAAAATAAAAGAATCACCTTATCTTTAGCATATAGTTATTAACAATAACTAATATTCAACACATAATATATTCTAGGCACTTTGGCAGATGCATGAAATTAAATACCTTCATGAATCATTTCAACACATGTATCAAATAGACAATATTTTTGTTATATCAATTTTATTTATGAAAAAATTTTTAAGAGTGCTATCCAGTGTCATACAATTAGTAGAAATAGAACTGTGAGCACCTAAATAGATACACAAAATACTTAGTATCATACTCCCACTAATAGCAAATGCTTAGTGAATAGTAGGATTTTAAAAATAATTTTAAATGATTATTTTTATACTCATTTTTTAAAAATCACTACTAAAATCTCCTTTATTTGGGTAAAATTTGGAAAAAATGATTTCAAGTGTCTCTTGACAGCATTGTTTGTGACAGCAAGTGTAACAGAAGGGTTGTATTTAATAGGGAGTATTTTGTAATCTGCTAGTTGACCTCAGAAGATCTACGAGGAAGGCAGAAGCATTTCCAGAGGTTTCCAAGGAAACAAGTCCTTGATTAGAAAGGAAAGAATTAAATTCTGCAGCTCTGGCAAGAGTAGAGACTGGAAATATTATTATAGGCATACCTCATTTTGTTGTGCTTTCCTTTATTGCATTTGTTTTACAAATGTTTGTGGCAACCCTGCATGAAACAAATCTATAGGCACTATGTTTCCAAAACCACTTGCTCACTTCCTGTCTCTGTGTCACACTTTGGTAATTCTCACAATATTTCAAACTTTTTGATTATTATTACATTTCTTTTTTTTTTTAAATATTTTATTTATTTATTTGACAGACAGAGACACAGCAAGAGAGGGAATACAAGCAGGGGGAGTGGGAGAGGGAGAAGCAGGCTTCCCGCCGAGCAGGGAGCCCGAGGCAGGACTCGATCCCAGGACCTGGAATCATGACCTGAGCCGAAGGCAGACACTTAACGACTGAGCCACCCAGGCGCCCCTCAAACTTTTTGATTATTATTACATTTCTTAAGGTGATCTGTGATCAGTGATTACAACTGTCTGAAAGCTCAGATGATGGTTAGCAATTTTTAGCAATAGAGTGTTTTTAGTTGAAGTATGTACACTGGTTATTTTAGACATAATGCTAGTGCACACTTAGGATACAGTATAGTGTAAACATAACTTTTATATGCACTAAGAAACCAAAATTTTCATCTGATTCACTTTATTATGATACTCGCTTTATTGCAGGCATCTGGAACCAGACCCTCAATATCCCAACGTATACTGTAGTATGGTTACAAGATCACTTGAGCCTTTGCTAAAAGTAAAGAAATGAATTTTATATTTCCTTTTCTGCGTGCTTCCTTTCTATTCTTGTACTCATTTTTGCTAAATTAGAAAATACTAAAACATGTTTACTGATAAACTTTTATTATCGTCACATCTATACTGCCTTTCTTTCTAAATTTCCATTTTAAATGTCATTCTAATACATAAATTTGTACCTTCATGTAATGGGAGATACAGGGAACACTTCTGAATCTTCATCATAATTTTTTCAATGCAAACATTTCACTCTGTACTTTCACTGTTGTAAATGAGCTTAATGGAAGAAAAGCTCCCTGGCTAATGTCTAATTATAGTGGCATAAATAGTAGAATTAACATCCCCTCCACTTCCTCGCACAGTTACTCACGAAGTACCTTCTGTGACCTCTTGTCCATAGACAATAGGTCATTGATTTGTAATAACTGTCATTAATTAAAATGCTGGAGCTTTGTTTCTTAATCTCCTTTAGAATAAATGTCCTGATGTTAATTGCCTTACTTTTTTGCACTGGTTAATTTTCCTTTCTTTTCAAAATATGGAAAAGTAAAGCTGCATCCTAGCAAAAAAAAAGTTTATCTTCAGCAGAAGCCAGAAATTACTGGCTTAGACTGTTAAATATTTCATAACTTACATTATTATCCTGGCTAGTTTGCCATTAACCATTGAGTTTATAGAAAATATCAACAAAACTTGAACAAAATCCCCCTTTTTACAGTATGTGATATATTAAATATGGTTTCAGTGGGTCCCTTCTGTATTATTCTCTTCAATTTCTATGACAAATAGGAAAACAATAGGTCTCATCTGAGATCTAAAAGTTGTCAAATATTAGCATCTCTAGATTTCTTCCTCCAACAAATCTAGTTTTCTCTCCTTGAGATTCATGCTCCTCATGAAAAAAAAATCTACTTTCTGTTTGAAAATAATGTCTGACCACCGGCTCCTTATATGGCACCAGCATGCTCTCTGCCATCTGGATCATCCAGGAATCTGGAAAGACTTCCCCTATCCCACATTGACACTTGCTTTTGAGGCTGCCAGAGTACTTGCCTAATCCCAGGGAACAAAAGAGCCAAAAGTGAGAATGTGGAGGAGAAAGAAGGAGAATACTGATCACAAAATGCAATTGAGGGTACAGTCCTCCTCAGCCAGCCAAGACATGAGGGAAGAGTAGTGTGTATTCCTTATAGTCAGAGTGACAAAGATCCCACCTCAGATTTGCTAAATGAGATTTTAGGAGAAATTTCCTTAAAACTGTCCATAGAAACCATTCTTGTTCTTGATTTCTAAGAAAGAAATTTCAGCAAGGCTTGTATAGCCAGTGAGCAATTTAAAGAGCAGTCTACACTACCTATCTCGTCTAAATATCTCACCTAGCTAAATCACTCCTACATCAAAACTTAATGAATGACAGTGGAGCACTATGAAAAAAAAAATTTCAAATCAAGGGAAAAGAATTCAGTTTCAAAAATAGTGTGACATTAATTAATGGGATGGTGGGGGGTATTTTTTTAATTGACTTGGTAATAAAGATAAAACCAAGTATTTAACTTTTTTTAAGACCATGAAATACATGTGAGCACTAAAAGAGCAATGACA